TCAAATTCTAGTTGAAACTTAAGATTAGGGAGCAGATTCAAAATCAATTCCCACCCCAAGTGATACAGAATTTCAGTGTTTTTTCAGAATCACTCCCCCAGCCGCTTGTGCTTTTTGTCATTTTTTTCTGCCTTCAAAAGCAAGCAAGGTTGCCTTTATAGGCAAGTTATTATGGCAGCATAAAAGGGATTCTTATTTGCACTTAAAACCTTTTGATATTTTCCTTTTTGCTATTCAATCCCTAGCTTAAAATCAGTATTTTTAGTGAAGTCCCCAAGACACCTTCCTAGCAGCTTCCTAATCAGTTAACAGATATATTCCTTAACCCTCAATACCCCTGTTTTTACTGCGGGAAGCCAAATGGGTCGGTGCTGGCCCAAAGTCCAAGTTCTAAAATTGGGCCTGTCAACCCAACTTAATTCCCCCTCCCTTGGACTTCTGATTTTGAGCCCAATTCAAATTATAATCGGGCTGTCCAAACAAATTAACACAGAATTTGAAACATGAGACCATTTTTCCTTATCTTTTTTTCGAAAATAACTTAAAATATCGACACATGTTTAATAAAGCAATTATTTTAAACCAATTATAACTCAATCTTAAAGGTGTACAGAACAATTAACCCCAAAAAAGAAACAGAGGAAAAAGAAGCAGAAAATCGGAAGAGATGAAGATGAGAAGAACAAAAGAAAAACTTAAATACCTAAATCAAAGGATGGAGATGGCTTGAAAGGATCTCTGACTCCTTAGATTTTGAACCGTAATTGATATTAGTCGTGGGTTCTTGTTAAACCGGCGAGAAACAACAATTACAGACCTAGCCGAGTCATCGAAGCCTGCAAAGATTTGGGAGATTTTTCTTTCGCTCCTCGGCCCTTTTTAGATCTGAAATTATCCTCGTTTAGTGGTGATTCAAGGGAAGTTACTGGGGAATTTGTAGAGAGGGGTATGAAAAGGAGTCTGGGGTTGTGATTTTGGTCGAGGTTTGGCGGTGGTTTGGAGGTTGCACCGGCGGAAATGGCAGAGAGGGCATGGGGGGTTTCTCTGAAGGAGGTGAAGTGAAACGCAATGGGATACTAGGTTTAATGAAGGGGAGTTCGGACATTCTTATGTAATTGGGGTGAGTAGTCTGAGTTGTTGGATGCGAGTAAATGGACGGTTGAGATGGACTTGGACCAAACAAACTCGAAGCTGCATCGTTTGGACAAGCTCGGAATTGGACTGGGTACAACATGGGCCTGGGCCAATTTTTGAACGAGTAACGGGTAAAGTGATTTGGGCTGGTGGGAATTGAATCAAAAAACAACCCAAACAGACTTTCCTTTATTTCCTTTTCCCAATTTAAACTTTCTTTTTTTCTCTCTTTTTTTTTTACATCAAAATAAAAACTAAAATTGAAGTCTAAATCAAATTACCCCACCAAATTAAATTAATTACTCAAAACAATATTTACAAACAACTAATTAATTACTAAATTAAAAGAAGACTACCAAAATCCGAAATTAAAATTAAAAGTGCAAAATAAACTATTTTTTTTTATTTTTCCATTTTTATAAAACAACTCATTTGTTAATTAATCCTAAAATGTGGAGTTAAATCCCAAATGCGAATGCAACATATTTTTGTATTTTTTATTAATTAAATAAAATAAACATGCACAGACAAATGCAAACAATTATCAGAAAATGTCACAAAACCCACAAAAGTTGCAAATAATGAAAAGAAGTTATTTTGTTTTGAATTTATGGGAATAATTCATATAGGGCAAAAATCACGTGCTCACAGTGGTGTTGTTCAACAGCTATCTAACCTAATATTCTTTCTCAAGCAATATAAGGTAATTAGACACGATTAATCAAGGGCCCATTCAATTAATCACCATACAAAACGTAGTTGAACAATCATATCATAAATCCGGCTCGATTATAACAACTTGAGTCAAAACTTCAACCAACAATTGGTTCCATCAACCCTAGATAAGTGTTTAGCTACTCATAACACAATAAGAGAAAACTACTAAATTGTTCATAATGTAAAATTGCAAGAATTAAAAGGAGATAGAAAAACTCTAATGTTTGGTTGATCTTTTCACTCTTGTTCTTGCCTCCAAAAGTAGTCTAAAATTAGCTTAGAATCAAGTTGGGCTGAGTTTTTAAAGCTTATAAGGGTTTTACAAAGTTTCTCCGAAATTACACTTTGGTCCTCAAACTTCCAGCTGCATGAACAGTGCACCGCGGTCGCGGCCAACCGCGGTCGACTGCGGTGAAAGCTGACCTTTCTGCCTCACTTCATTAACCTGCCACGGTCCACCGCGGTCGCGGTGGCCTTCTTGCCCAGGCTATATTTTGCTTTTTTGTGCTCGGGTACTTCTCGAGTGGGTGTTTTCTTCACATTATCGTCTCCAAAACACTCCATGTTGCTTCCTCTCATATAATATTCCCTGTGGCACAAAAGAACACTATTTAGAGCATTTTGTTGGCAATTTATCTATAAAACAACAACAAAGTATGGTCATCTTAAGGTGTAAATGTCAACTATATAACCTACTATCAACAATACAGTACGATACGATACATTATGAAACAATGCTTAACAACTATCCAAACAAGCTGTTAGAGTTCGTAGGCTTTAAAAAATTTCCATTCATATAGATTTTACACTGAACTTTCTTTGTTCAAGAATAGAAATAGCAAATTTATTAATGATCTCAAACTCATAAATATTAGTTGTAATTTATTTATAAAAGGGGATTTAGGAAAATTTAATATCGTTACACAAAGAGATAATATGTCAAATAAGGAAGAATTTAGTAACCAAAATTTTAACTAATTTTGAAGTCCTAAAAATTAGAAAAATAATTAAATTATTGTTTTGTCCAATATGAAGCATATTTTTTAAGGATAAAAAAGGACGACATTTCGCTAAGGGTCTTCGTACTTTTGATATAGTGTGTATATATAGATATAGATAGATAGATATAAATATTGATTAATATGATTTAGTATAAATATGAGGAATGAATAAGTTTATTCTAGGTAAAGAGAAAAAGATTTATGTACACCAAGAACTGAGTTTGGCTAATTCAACTCTAAAATCAATGTGATATAATTCAAAAATTAAGAACCTGTTTGGTCAAGCTGCCAAAAACTACTTATTTTGAAAAGCAAAAATGCTTTTCGAAAAAGTTTTTAGAGATTAGCAGTTTGTGTTTACCAATTCGTTTGAGGAGTACTTTTTGTAATATTCTATAAGCAAACTGTGTTTAATCAATCTTTGCAAGAAGTACTTTTGGGTATACGGTAAAGGACAGTAGAGGTTTAGTTTACAATTAGTATTATTCAAAAATGAGAAATTTTAAATATTTATTATAAAAATTAATTAATTTTTAATTCTATGTAATTGATGTAAAAAACATAAAGTAATATATATTAAAGACCCTAATCAATATAAAATATAAGTATATAAAAGCAATAATATTGGTAAGAACATATCTGCTTACAAGTTACATGTTTGAAAAACATTATCAATTATTGAGAAAATAACAATTTAGGAAATTTTCTATTATGTCAACTTTATTATATGAATAAAAATATAAATAAATCTACGAACTAGAGATCATATAATATTGGTATATTACAAAAAATTTATACCTTATAAAAAAAGTGCTTGAATCTAGTGGATTAGCCTTGTTATTTCAATGAGTAATAGGAGTTAGGAGACGAAGAAAAGAAAAAACAACGGAAGAAAATAAAAAGAGATCTATTTATAGTAGATGAGTAATAGGAGTTAGTAGAGAAATTATTCCAAATAGGTCCAAATAGGAATAAGAGAGAACAAAAATAAGGTAAAATAAAAAGAGAAGAAAGGAATGGTAGAGATAAAAAGTAAAAGCTAAATTAGAAAAGGATAATTCAGAAAATATAATCTTATGGTAAGGGTATTTTTATTTTGAAAAAATTAATTTTATGCTTTTGCTTCTTGGAAGAAGCTATAATTTGTAGCTTCTTCCTAAAAATGGAAAAACTGCTTCTAATGCTGAAAAACACTTATTTGTTTTAGCCAAACACCTCATATTTTCAAATAAGTACTATATTTTTGACAAAAAAAAAATAAATACTATTAACTTCATAGAAACTTGGTCAAACAAACTCTAAGTAATAAAAATGTATATTGCTATTATGGTTTAACGTGCATATTTGAGTTGTTGTTTAGCATTTATTTATTTATTTATATACTCCATTTGTGTTTGCTCCCCATGAATGCCTACTATGGATTTTTGAAGTATTTTCTTCTAATCTTTTTTTATGTAACTTAACCAAGGTTAATTTGAGAACAGTGAATACAAAAATGCATGACAAATGTTGAATTTAGGGACTACCTGGAGTGGTTGCCTCATTTAAAAGTCTAAATTGTTAAAGTTGATATACTTTGTTTTATAATTACTAATATATTCTCCTTTTTGGTCCGTGCCAAAAAGAATGACACATTTTCTTATTTGGAAACAATTTACCTTTATGCAATGATTTATAGCCACACAAAATATATGTGTCTTATTTTACACCACAAGTTCAAAAGTCTTCTCTCTTTTCTTAAACTCTGTATCCAGTCAAATGGGTTCACATAAGTTGAAACGGAGGGAGTATGTCATAACCAGCTTGTGCTTGCTCTAATATAATATCGAATTCATCTAAAATTTTAATTAGTTAATAAATTTGTGACATCAATTTGTGACTTAATTTGGAGAAGAAGAATAAGATTAAAACAGGCGATGCTCCAAATTCCAGCTCTCCCCACATTAAGTAAACCTTACTGCAAGTTTTAAGCTTTCATGACATAAATATACTTAACAAACTTGCTGTGTATGAATTTTATTTCCTAGTTAGAGGGGGTGAGGGGAAGAGTAGTAGATAAAGCTTAAGCACAGCTTCCTGAGCAACTTCACCTACATGCAACTCCCAAAATGAAGCCACCAATGCAAAGGAAAGTAGCGCAAGCAGGACGAAATAAAATCTCTGGACCACATAACATAAAAGCATAATCTTAAGAATCCAAAAATAATCTCATACTCTAGACAAAACATCCCGAGAAAACCCTAGCAGTATTCCCAAAACTCATCCCTGCAAAATCTGTTTATACCATCCTCTCAAAACAGAGGAGATGATTCATCAAAAAAAAACCGCATTAAGCAGTCAATTGGACCACGTTGAATCACTCAAGAAACAAGGTTGTCATTGAGGGAAAGTGAGGCAAGTTGGTCAGCCGGGCTGGCAGTCTGCTGAACATTCCTCAGAACTTCCATAGCCTCAGCAACTTTAGCCTTCAAAGCCTCTGGTGATTCAAGCAGATGTAAAACCTCAGTCTGATCCATTTCAAGAAGCATGCCTGTAACCTTTGCTGCATGCTCGTGCTCCAGCTGATCAACAAGTGGGTACAAACTTTCACCCAACATCTGCCAAGAGAACGAGAGCATTAAATCACTAGTTCAGTCACCAATAAATAACCTGTAATGTCAATTAACTCACCGTCCTCTGCTGTTCAGGTGGTGCATTTGCAAGGGCAGAAGCCAATGTTGAAATTGGCATGGGCTGTCCCATTGCAGAATCACGAGGAAGCATGCCACCCATGTCATATGGAACAGAAAGCATACCCCCAGGAACGCCTGGCATTGGCCCCTCTGGTCCATTACGCCCTGGTGGATAGCGGTACATTCTTCCCCTTGGGAGCATCTGCAGAATGAGTCTTCCATCATTAGCTTACCAGTCTTAAAAAAAATATATAACTGGATAACCAAAAAACTGCAGAGAGGAAGCAAAATTTAACCTGCTGCTGCATCAAGGGCATAGGCTGTTGAGTTTGTTGCACAGGCCCTGCTCCTCGTCGACCACCTGGACGCTGGCCCTGTTGTCCTTGTTGGACTAAGGGCATGAAGAAGTTCGGCATAGGAGCTCCTCCAGGACGCATTCCAGGAACAAGCTGTTGTTGATAGCCAAACCCAGCCTGGAAAATAAGATTATGGATCAGCAATAAACCCATTTCAATACATTTGAAGCAATTTTCCAACATCATGCGCAGCCATTTACAATTTTAACACGCATTAACCCACCCACATGCATTACTGAGTGTTCCAAATAAATAGACCACTATGGAGAAGAATTAACATGGTTACCTGGGGAGGAATCATAGCAGGGGGGCCTTGCCCATAAAATAGTTGCTGTCCAATCCCAGGAGCACCAGGAGGGTAGATTGGCATGCGAGGAGCAAGTGATGGGGGCATTGCCACTGGTCGCAGTTGTGAAAATTGTGCCTGTGCCAACTAGTGCATTGATCAATATACATTACTAGGTAACTGTTTCAGCAGATCAAAATTTATCAGCAACACAGGCTTAAAACGTTAAACCACCTTGAAATATTACATTAGACAGACTAAACCGTTAAGCCACCTTGAATCATACAATAGTCAAACTAACTCTAGATGTCCTTTGAGCATGTAAAACTAAAGCCAAGAGCCGAATCTACTGATAAAGTATTCCACGTTTTACTTAACAATTTAAAGCAGCATGATGCAAAAACCTTTCAGCAGTGCCACATCGTTTGGCTATTAATTATTACCTGCAACTTTGCTCTTCTCTCCTCTTTCCGCTGTGCCAGTGCAACATAGAGTGGCTTGCTAACTATCATTTTCCCATTCATCTCAGAAAGCTTAAAAAGAAAAAAAGAGAAGAGTTACAACTTAATGAGTACAATGTACTAAAAAGACTTGACATATAAGTATTACGTACAGCTCTAGAAGCGTCTTCGGAAGTGGAGAAGGCAACAAATCCAGATCCCCTGCTGACTCCACTTGGATCCCGCATAACCTGCGACACAAGAACAGAACATCTAAGCAAAATGAATGGATGCAGTGACCTAAAAGTTCATCCACAAGAAATTGTATACCTTGCATGAAGTTATCGTACCGAACTCTGAAAAAAGTTCCTTGAGCTTCTCATCATCAATGGTGTCATCCAAATTTTTT